CACCTTTGTCATCTTTTAAATGGCAGGGATGCTATCAGTGTCCCATGACCCCTGAGTTACATAATCAGTTCTAAGAGATAATTAAAACAGGTCCCTGAAGTTACTTGAATGAAGAGAACCAAGCACACATTTGTTCACTGTGACACACAACCTGTCATTCAGTGTGCCAGCAGTTGTTCTTAGAGATAATTATATGATACTGGTCTCTAAATAAGGGACCAGTTAATGCCCATTAATTGAAGGGTCGTATATAATAACTGCCAGGTGATTTGAAACCTAAGAAGATAAAAGCAGCCTGCCTGTTCATATCCATCCTACTGAATTCTTTTTCATCTAATATCAGATGCATATAATTATCACAGATAATTTCCCCTGTTTAACTCCAGTAATTTTAAGGTAGAAACAAAATGTTTTTGCTTTTCACAGCTTGCATTTGGGGGCTTCTGTTTCTGGGAAGTCAGTCTAGGTAGTCCTGTCCTGGTCTCTTGTCCAGTCGCTACTATAGATGGCAAAGAGGCTTAGTCAAGGTATTTACATACTTGGTACAAAGAGGGCCCTGTACAAGACACAGGGACAAGTTATCTGAAGCTCCGGCCCTGGAAGGAGAAGATAGGATATAAATATAAATGACTCTAACATAGAGCAAACTCACAAGTTTCATGAGAGGTACACAACTAAAAATAAATGTTTATTATAGCATTGTTAGGCATAAAAAACATTTTCCTGTGATGTGGATAGTGAAAGTATTGTACCCTTTAAAAGATAAGGAAATAGAATCTCAGAGAAGTTAAAGGGCTTGCCCAAAGGCACAAAACCACTATTGGATCTAAGACATGAATAGCCCTCCCCAGGTCTAAAGTGCTGCCTAGAATCTATCACCCCATGCTGCCTCTCTCCAAAGTACTTGGGCAAGTTAATTTTTCACTCCATTCAAGTGTCAAGTGAATGGCACAAACAGTGCTTACTGAGTAAGTGGAACTTGAACACCGCCTTGAAGAACACGTAGGATTTAGATAGGTTGGGGAAGAAGTAAGAAAGGTAATCTAAGGGGCAACTAGGTGGTGCAGTGGCCAAGAGCCTTGGCCTTGGAGTCAGGAGGACCTGAGTTCAAATCTGGCCTCAGACACTTGACATTTACTAACTGTGTGACCCTGGGCAAGTCACTTAATCCCAATTGCCTCACCAAAAAAAAAAAAAAGATAGTCTAAGTATGAGAGATGACTTGAAGCAAAGGCCTGAGACCTCTTTGTGAGACCAGTTTAGTCTGAATTGGAAGTAGTGGGAGTGGTCAGGGGAGGAGAAGTTTCTTGGATGTTTATCTTACAGTCAGGTTGTAGAAGTCCTCAAAAAAAAAAACTTGGCTAAGTCCTTAATTTTTTTTCTATTTTATTTTCTTTTATTTTAAAGATTTTTATACCTTGTTATTAATATATATTTTTTATTTCATTAAATATTTCACAGTTATATTTAAAAATTTTTAAGATTCATTTTTTGAAATGTTGAGTTCCAAATTTTCTTCCTCCCTCCTGCCCCTTCCCTACCCCTTGAGAAGACAAGCAAAATGATATTGATTATACATGTGAAGTCTTGCAAAACATTTCCATATTAGCCATGTTGCAAAAGAAAACACACACACACACACACAAGAAGAAAAATTAAGTAAATGGAAAAAAGTATGCTTCAGTCTGCACTCAGAGTACATCATTTCTCTTTCTGAAGGTAGATAGCATCTTTCATTATAACTCCTTTAAAATTGTCTTGGACCATTATATTGATCAAAATTGCTAATTCATTCACAATTGATCATTCTGCTGTTACTGTGTACAGTGTTTTCCTGGTTCTGCTCACCTCATTTCATATCAATACATATAAGATTTTCCAGGTGTTTTCTGAATCCATCCATTTTGTTATTTCTTATAGCCCAATAATATTCCATCACAATCATATACCACAACTTGTTGAGCCATTGCCCAGTTGATGGGCATCTCTTCAATTTCCAATTCCTTGCCTCTAGAAAAAGAACTGCTATAAATATTTTTATACAAATAGATTCTTTTCCTTTTTCTTTGATCTCTCTGGGGTATAGATCTAGTAGCAGTATTACTGGGTCAAAAGGTGTGCACAGTTTTATAGCCCTTTGTTCCCCATAATTAAACCAGTTTACAATTCTGCCACAGGACATTGGTATCCCATTTTTTCCACTTTTCCCCAGAATTTATCATTTTCCTTTTCTAATCCGAGGTTCTAGTCTAACTTCATGGTGGCACCTCAGAGTTGTTTTAATTTGTTTTTCTCTAATCAGTAGTGATTTAGGGCATTTTTTCATGTGACAGTTGATAGCTTTGATTTCTTCCTCTAAAAACTACCTGTTCCTATCCTTTGATCATTTATCAATTGGGGAATGGCTTTTATTTTGATAAATTTGTCTCAGATCCTTATATGCTTGAGAAATGAGGCCTTTATCAGAGAAAATTGTTGTAAAATCCACCCCCCCAATTTCCTACTTTTCTTTTCATTTTGGCTGCATTAGTTTTGTTTGCGCAAAATTTTTTAATTTCATGTAATCAAAATTATCTGTTTTACTTCCTGTGATCCTGATTTCAGGATTCTGCTTCCAAAGACTCCCACCTCTCAAGTGAGAGGAGATAAATGCCATGGTTAGCTAGGACCAAAATTGGTCATTGTAATTAATCTGAGTTTGTCTGTTATGCCTATTTTTAGGCAATAGGGAACCATTGAGGATTTTTGAGCCAGGCAGGTTACATGATAAAAATAGTGTTTAGGAAAATCACTAGAGATCATTGTGTTTGGATCATAAGAACCTGAAAGCAATATTAGAAGACTTGCAATGTAAAAGACTGGTGAATGGAGCTCTAGGGGATTAGCTGACATTTGTACAGAACTTTAAATTTCACAGAGCACTTTCTTTAATCACATTAATTGACCCTAGAACTAGAAGACACTAGAGATCATCTAATTCAGCCCCCTTCCCAGTGTATGATATTTGCTACATCAGTCATTCTTTGCCCAACATTCTTACTTTCTCCACCCAAATCCAGATAGACCAGGAGAGAAAATTTGCTCTAGGCAATGTAAGGAAATTATTTCCAAGGTCTTAAGTTATTGCTGCCACATATTTTTTTTTTTTTACTGGAATGATAGTCATGTCCAAAGTCCACTGGGAGAAAGCATCAGGAAAGCTGTTGATCTGTGGCGCATTATCTCCAGTATCCCATTATGAAAGCATAAGACTATGTCTGACTCTACAGGGAAGAGTTCTGGACATGGGATTCAAAGCCCTGGGTTCTAATCCTGGATCTGAGACCTTGTCCAAGTCATTTAAACTTTGAGCCTCAGTTTGCTCATATGTAAAACAGGGTTAATGATATTTGCTGCGCATTTTCACAGGATTGGAGGGAGGAGCAAATCAAATAATGTACGTGAAATCATTTTGAAAACAGTAAAACGTAAAGCAGTTGTAACAACAATAATATAACAATATAGTAATGATATGTGTAATAATATAGCATTTATATAGTACTTTAAGGTTTTCCAAGCTCCTTAGAACATGTGATCCTCACCCCAACTCTGAGAGGTAGGTGTTAGTATTATCTTCTTTTTACAATGGAGGAAACTGTAGTAGATAAGGGTTAAGTTACTTGCCCAGGGTCACATAGCTAGCAAATATCTGAGACCAGGTTTGAATTCAGACCTTCCTAATTCCAGGTCCAGTGCTCTACCCACTGTACCACCTAGCTACCTCTAAAGAGACAGGTTAGTTCTCTACTGAGTGGCAATAGCATTGTTCCATTAATAAAAATAACTTAATTATTTAATTCAGTTATTAATGTCCTTAATTAATTCTTCAATGGCATCATAGTTCTTCTGAGGCAAGTGCAATTAGTTCTATTTGCAAATAGAGAAACTGGAACCCAGAGAAGGGACAAAGATCTGTGGCATAAGGTGTGATATCACTGTGGAGTCAAAGAGAATGGGGCCCTTTTCTTTCCCTCTCTTGACATAAGTGGCTCCATTTTGGAACTAGCTTCCATGTCAGTGTGGATTGAGCAAGCCCCTGTGTTTGAGTTCATTCCCACCCCAGTTTGCTCTGCAAGAAGAGTATTAAGTTATCCCAGAAAAATGTAGGAAAAAAAAAGTTATTTCTCCCCTTCCTTACAAGGTAAATTTTAGAGAAAACAAAGTTCTTTGTCCTGTCTGCGAGAACAGTTATAGATAGCTTTCAAAACAACAAATTGTTTTCCTTACGGTATAAAATGTCTGCTCTCTGCTTGGCTTGGGGGTTGGGAGGCTGGTGTGCAGGACTCTGCCAAAGGCTCCTCTCCATAGTTAGATGTATGTGGAAAGATTTTACTGTGTTTCCTGTAGCTGTGTCTTTGAATAAACTTCTCTAAACTGTTATTCCAAATTGTTCTGTGGAGCCAGATGTTTTTATAATGACCTCGCTTTCCAGGTCTGCAGATGTAGTTTTGTGCATGCAGATACCCAATGTGTAGCTTTAGTATGATGGTTCAGATATGTCTGTATGGCTTTATGCCCATCTAGAAGCCAAGCTTTTTTGGGTGAACATCAATGAAAAAACAAAGAAAGTAGCCTCTGAAGGAGTGTATTTCCACTGTACTTGTTTTTAAAACTTCCTTTTCCATACCTGTTTTCCTGCTAATGATGCCCCTCATTATATGCTATCAGTAGCAAATAGAAGGAAATTCTGATTGAGGGAAAAAATAGCTTTAAAAAAACCTTTATTCTTAAAGAATAAGAATAATCCAAAAAATTATTTATGCTGCTATCATTTTGATTCATCAGAAAAAGAAAAAGCATTTGGAATTTATTTCAGTTTTGGCCACAGTTTTGTTTTTGCTAGTGGTCCCCTCTCCCTTTCTCTCTCCCTTTTATTTTTTTGAGTCTTTTTGCTTTGCCTTTTATAAATTGTTATTTGGACTGTGATCTGATTGCTTGGTTTTCCTCTCCTTCCCTTTTAGTGGAAACCACATTTTCCAAGGTCTTGCTGCTGGCATAGCAGTAAACGAGAATGGAAGAGGACAAATAACAGGTATGAAAATAAAGATACATTCTTTCAGGGTGATGTCTCCCAGGACAGTACCCTCTTTCCCTTTGAGGTGACCAGGGTGACATATTCTTGAAGATGTAGTTTAGTTCAGCAGACTCATCCCAGAATTCGAGTAATCACAAACCTTAAATTCTCATCCCCTCTCTGATATTCACAACTCACATTTCTGTAGCACTTTGTAGGGTGCAAATAAAGGTCACAGCCACACTATGGAGCTGGGAGTGCAAGCTTTAGTATTCTTACCTTATAGTAAGGGAACTGGGGCTCTGAGAGTTTCATTGTTTTGGCCAGGGTCACATGGCTCCTAAGTGTCAAATCCAGATTTAACTCTGGCCTCCAGGCTCCTAGTGCAGCATTCTTTGCATCTCCAGTTCTGCTAACTAGGTATAGCTAACTAGTAGTTAACTAGCCAACTAGTTGTAGCTGCCTCTCTGGTTCTACTGCTAACTAGTGGTAGCTAGCTAACTTACTAACCTTAAGAAGCTTAGGTGGCACAGTGGTTTGGGCACTAGGCCTGGAATCAAAAAAGATCCGAGTTCAAATTCAACCTCATGCACTTACTAGCTGTGTGACCCTGAGCAAATCACTTTAACCTCCATTTGCCTCAGTTTCTTTATCAGTGAAATGCAGATGATAATAATAGCACCTATCTGTTCTTCTAGGAGGACACAACATACACAGAAAAATCAATACAAAATATATATGAGTAAAACCCAAATTAATAAGGCAGGTTGGGAATGCTGACAGTTGAAAAGATCAGGAATTGGGAGTGAACTGGCTCTTTCTGAGCAAAGACTTGAGACTAACTAGGAATCAAAGAGGCCAAATCACAAACAGACTCTAGCTGCAAATCTAAAGATGTTCTTTCTTTTATATGGTAGTAGGGAAAGGCCTTCTCATCACATATTACTATTTGTCATCTACATCCCCACAGTCATGTTAGTGAGAAGTCTTGGTTCATTCACCTAATTATCTGTGTGACTCTGGACAAGTTACTTAAATGCTCTGAACCTCCATCCATTTCCTCATCTTGAAACTCGGGTTGGGATTTAGTTCCCTACTCCTTTTTCCCAGTGCACTAGGATTATTTTGGGGATCCAAAGGAAATAAATAGAATGGGGAATTTTATTGATCAGATCAGATTCTCCTTTTCTTATTGTTTCCTAAATTTATCAACAGTTGCTCTGTAAGTGAGTAGGTTTTGTTTTTATTTTGTTTGTTTTAATAAACTAAGGCACCTCACAAAGAAAGAAACAGGCCATGTATATGTAATTTATAGAATGTACATACTCTAATGAGGTTTATTGAAGGCTAGTCTTTGTAGCCAGTAGAGGTCCTTAAGGAATGGAGACTGTGTAGGAGTACCAATTATAGTTCTAGGTTGTTCTGGGTATTGTGGTGGGTTTCCACCATCTAAAAGACTCGATTTTCTTATGTTTATTTAAGATGTGGAAATCAGTTAACTAGGTTAACAAAAATCTATTTCATTTGGGCTGAGATGATAATTTGAAATTATAATTTTGGAAATAGGGAGAGAACTTTTCAGCAATTTTGAAATGTAAAGGTGTGTGTAGGAATTTCTTCTGCTTAACTCTACATATTTGCTAAAAGAGATTTTCTTTTTTTCTCCCTCTTATTGGGGAAAAGGGTGTGTTGTGGGAGAGAAGAGGACTAGAGATAGAGTAGCCAAAAAAGAAGGAAAGAAAAAGAAAAGATGGTCATTGACATTTTTTTTTTAATGTACAGAAGAGAGCAAAAGGAAGCCTAGAAAGAATCCTGGACCAGCAGTTTAGCTCTGAAAGTAACATGTTGACTTTATTGCATATTTTAGAAAGAAAAGCAAACAGTACTTAGCAGACATTCATAGTTTCATATGCAATCCTTTTTTTTTTCCTGTTCCATATATTTGTCCATATATATGGAAATGGTCATTTACTTAGTGTTGGTTAAGTTTAGAATTTTTTTTTTGCAGTTTTTTTTTTCTTTTTAGGCAGTTGGGGTTAAGTTAATTTTGATTGAGCCCAGTAATGACAGTGACACGATCACTGCTCCTAATTGTCATCTTCCCTAAAGCCGGCTGAGAAGTTTTCAGTGAAAGGCCACTCAGGAGAAGAATCTCCCGTCTGCGTCACGTCACAGTCAAGTAGACAAGCATTTCAATGAAATTGAATTTTGAACTGCTGTTCTTTCCAGTTAGATTTGTTTTAAAGAATGACAGGGATGTTGTTCTCAAAATAGCCCCTGCCAGTTCCCTATATCTCCGGTTGCTTTAGTGAGACCACGGCATTTATTGACAGCTAAGCTTCATGTTTTGTGCAGCCCTTCAGGGACCCAGAGAAAAGTCAGGTGATTTCGTCTTTCTTTGGTGTCCTAGACTTATTGTCAATGCTGACATCTGTGTAATTGGCTCAGACATTTAGCCGTTGAAAGATCATCCTCCAGAGGACGGGGTCATAGATTAGATTTCCACATCAGGCCAGTTACCTCTGACCTGTTCCATGATCACAGGCTGCACACTTTGGGAGAGGGGAGGGGAATCAAGAGGGGAGCTGGGCAAGGGCTCCCGAATGGGTCCACGGGAGAGCAGCCGCAGAGCTAGAAAAACAGGACAGCTAATACTCTGTGGACTGTGTGTCGAAAGCATCACTGGCCCTTGTCAAGTGCAGGACGTGCTCCCTTTACAAGTCCTAAGGAGAAGAAGATAAAGTAAAAACCTTCTTTATGCCCAGAAGAGGATTCTTAGCCAATCCTCTACTCTGTCTTACCTTAGTTTCTCCACTGTCCCAGCCTCTGGTCACGTTGGTTATAAGGATTATTTTGGCTGCTGCTAGAATACTCTTCTTCGTTGTACAACAGTGTTATTATTAAGTGTGTCTGGATGACATCCAAGCTCCATATTTTCCTCCCATCCCTATTCTGCACTAATCATTTCCTAGCAACAGGACTGCTTTTCCCTCATTGACTCACTACTTCTCAGCCCTTGCCACCTTCTCACTTCACTTTCTATGTCCAAACTTCTTTACTTTTCAGAACATATTTCAGTGACTTTTGGACCTTCCCCTGATGCCAGCTAAATCATAGGCCCACCCCACCCCACTCCTCCTCTCTCTTTCATTTTACCCCTTTTAGCTATGGTAGGGTCTTTCTATTTTGGCTTACCCCTGGGCAGGTAGTACCTTCAAAGGAGTAGATCATTGACCTGGGATGAAATTGGGAGCTGCTAGTATGGTCCCCTTTTCTGAGTCCACTCTTTCTGTGTTCTACTTAGCATAGCTCCCAGGCAGACTAGCACAGGCATAGGTATGAGGAGTTATGAGAGAATTTGTTGGCCCTCTAAAGGAAGAATTGCTTCTTAATCTGCAGTATATACACTTATTTTTAAATATGTATATTTTGATAACTGAAAGTCAATATAATTGGTTTCCTTTGTAATCCTATGTATTTTATTCTATGCATTTAAAAACATTCTTCTAAGAAGGGGTCCATAGGTTTCATCAGACTGCTGAAGCATCACAAAAGGTAAAGAAGGAAGAAAAGCATTAATTAAATACCTACTATGAGCTAGATACTATTCTACGCATTTTATAAATATTATCTCATTTGATCCTCATAAAACCCTGGGAGGTAGATGCTGTTATTATCCCCATTTTAGAGATTAAATGACTTACCCAGTTTCATACAGCCAGTAAAAATCTGAGGTCAAATTTGAACTCAGGTCTTCCTGCCTCCAAGCTTAGTGTTCTAACCATTGCGCCATCTGGCTGCCTTGAACCCATGAGCTAAACAAAGTCCCAGATGTAATGACAGTTACATTTTTGAAACAGCAGAGATTTGTTTCCCCCATTATACAGGGTGTTCCAGAAGTATTAGTATTAAGCTTTAATAGCTGCATAGAGGGGAAGAGACAACAATATGATAATAAAGTGAAGAAATCAGAGAAATTAATTATGAAGAGCTGCCATAATAGATTAAGTGTAATTAAAGTTAATCATTGAATATGCAGCAGCCTTTTACTCAGATTTTCAGACTTGATGGCCAAAGTGGATTTAGAATGATAGAATTGTTGAATTTTAGAACTGGGAGGGACTTGAGAATAGGGTCTAATTATACTAATTAAATTGTCCCAGTCCTTTCACATGATATGACTTTTAAAAGTCGTCCTTATTCTTATTAAAAGAAAATTTAGAAACATGAGATTATACTAAAAATTACATTGTTTTTCTCTGTGTTCTGCCTCCAAAAGCCTGACTCAACTAGTTCTTTAGAAATTGAAATGAGAGAAAATGTTCATTAGCACAGATAAGACAATAATCAGGTAAGACACCAGGAGTAATTTATATTTTAGCCCAGCAGACATAATGATTCTCAAAAATAGTAACAATATAACTGTCCTGTTAACAATCTCCACCCCACCTTGCCCTCCACACTTTCTCTGGCATTTGGTTATAGGAGAGACTGTTGTATCTTCAGTTAGTCAAGACTTTGAAATGACAGGATAGATCACACACTTAAGCATCTTTATGTCTTGAACGTCTTTTGCAGTCTGGTCAAGCCTTCTCAGAATAATAGTAATAGATATTTTATTATCATGCTTTGTATATGTGGAAAGTTAGCATAACAGAATCCCAGAACTTCAAGGAATCTCAAAGACCTTCTAGTCCATAATTCATTTTACAGCTGAGGGAACTAAGGCACAGAAGGGTGCGGATAAGCCCAGGGCATGTATGATAATGATATACTTGACTAGATTGAAAATAAACTGCATTGGCAAGACTTCCAAATCCCATTTTCTCATTCTTATTCCTGTTATCTACTTTTCAACCTAGAACCATATGGTCATTGTATTAAATCAGTTGATATTTGTTCTTTCTCTTGAACTGAGACACAAGCTTTCTACATAGGAATAATGTAGAAACCTCTGCAAGATTCTACACTCCTCTTCCTTTCCCAAGCACAGCCTGATGGTGGTTATCAAGCCAGATGCTGAATACACATAACTAACTTTTGATTATCTTCAGCTAATTATCCACTGTGTGCCCTCACTTCTTCCCATTCTTCTTTTTGTTATTTCATCATTTGTTGAAATTCCATCAGAGAGGAATTGAGACAGCCACTTTTGTTCCTTATGGGCTGTTCTGGTAAAGTAGTACTCCAAAACGTGGTTTCCAGTGAGACTTTGGAATGATCTGTGAATTTCATTTCTCATGCCATCCCTTACCACCATGCTGTCTTGTTGTCACTGAGACTTAAACATTTGTTGTTGGTTTTTATTCGTTCAGTTGTGTCCAATTCTTTGTGACCCCATGGACTAGGCTGTCCATGGTGTTTTCTTGGCAGAGATACTAGAGTGGTTTGCCATTTATTTCTTGAGGACTTAAACAGGATCACACACTTCCTAGACATATATTTGTCTAGAATCCTTGTGACTACACGTAAGTGGACAAGAATGTGCTATAATAATCATTCAATTAGATAAGGGGTTCTTAAATGTTTTTTGTGACCTGGACCCCTTTAGCAGTCTGGTGAAGTCTATGTTTACCTTCTCAGAATAATAATAATCACCAGCATTTATATGAAATAATTAATACACGTAAGATAGTGTATGAGATAATATTTATATAGCACTTAGCACAGTGTCTGACACATAGTAGGTGCTATGTAAATGCTACCTGTTATTATTATATAATATTTTAAGGTCTGTAAAATGCATTACGAATATTATCTCATTTATCCTTACAACAACCTTGGAAAATAAGGTGCTATTATTATTCCCATTTTGCAGATGAGAGAACTGAGGCAGATAGAGATTAAATGATTCACCCAGGGTCATCTGCTCTAGTTTCCTTTCCTAGAGCAGAGACTAGCCCAGGAAATAAAGCAGTCTCAAAATTTCTCCATCAAGTCATCCCTGGTCCCATTAGTCAGAAGTGATCTCTCTGTCCTCTGAATTTCCATATCACTGTTTGCCCTTCTCATGTCATTCTGAGCTTCTACCTTTTATCACAGTAATTTGTGTGCATGTCACATCTTCCCTCCTAAACTGTAAACTCCTTGAAATCCATTTTTGTATCACCCAAAGTGTCTACCTAACCCAGTGTCTCATACATAATAGGTAATGAAGAAATGTTTAATAAATGAATCTCCTCACCACAGCCTAGGGAGTTTGGAAAAAGATTGTAGTGCTCCCATTTTCCAAATGGAGGAACTGAGGTAGTGAGAGGTGACTTTGGATACTCAATGACAGTTTGGATACTGCCCTTTAGTCTGGAGAGGGTCCTCGAAATGATCTTCCCCTATATCATGCTTTTTTTTAAATAAAATTTTACTGATGTATTTTGTTTTTACATCACCCATATTTCCTCTTATATCTCTCCTTCACCCAAAGAGCCATCCCATATAACGGCATTCCATATAACTATCACTCTGAGTCTTATAATTCATCTGGGCTGGGCAGCTAGATGGCTCAGTGGATAGAGCACTGACCCTGCATTCAGGAAGACCTGAGTTCAAATCTGGCCTCAGACACTTGACACTTACTAGCTGTGTGACATTGGGCAAGTCACTTCACCCAATTGCCTCACAAAAGCAAAACAAAAAAAAACACATATAATTCATCTTGGCTTAAATTCAGTATATTTTATTGTAGTATTGGTATTTAGAGTTGGGAAATTCTGACTTAGTACCTAGTGAGCCTGGAGAGTGAATCAACTGCTACTTAGATTCAACCCATTTTCCATTCCTCTGAATTTCACTTAATCATGAGTCCCCAAGGCCCATAATCAGGCTGCATATCTATAGAAAATTCAAATTATTCATGTAGTGATCATCTCTCCAAGTAAATTCTAAACTTCTTAAATGCAGAAACTGTACTTTATGAATCTTTGTATTTTCTAGGACCTAACATAGTGTTCTACATGTAGCAAGTATTTAATAAATGCCTGTTAATTTTAATATAATGTCCTGCTATATATAGAATGCTGTATATGAGAGCTTCTACACATCTCTACCCTTCCCCACCCCCCAGTCAAGAACCAAAGAATCATCCTGCAGATGAGTTTTCCAAGTCCTTCATAAGCCCGATCAAAAAACACACCAAAAAACAAAAATGCCTTGGTATAACCATAATAATACATAATGTATAATGCCTTGATAGAACCATACTCAGAGTAGAAGACCACATTCTACCACCTTTGGTCCCCCCCCATTAATCTACATAGGGCCTCTTGGAGAACCTTGCGGTCTCTCAGAAATGGCTCTTGGTAGATGGGCAGAGCAGATAATGGGAAAAGAGAAGATCTTGTGTCCTGCTGATTCCTGGAATGTCTCATTTATCCGACATTTCCTTCTGTGGTGTCACATGTTGAACTGCAGTCTTTTTGAAGTCTGACTCCCAATGCTATTTGCTTGTTCATTTATAAGTTAGATCTTTAGAGGCCTTATGAATGATTGATTATGCTTAGCGAATGTCTTTTATACTTCTCACTTTAGAAAATGTTATACGTGAAAATCATTGGGGTGGCGCAGATATTCGCCGAGGAGGTGACCCTGTTCTCAGAAGCAATCTCATCTGCTTTGGTTATTCGGATGGCGTGGTTGTAGGAGAACAGGGAAAAGGACTAATCGAAGGAAATACCATATATGGTAAGAAAAATAAATTTAAGTGAGCTGTAATAGAGTCTGCCCAGTGTGTGCTGATAATGTTTAACAGCCAGCTCTCTACACACACACACACACACACACACACACACACACACACACACACACACA